GATATACATACATATAGTTTATACATATAAATATCGTAATAAATGACAAAAAATATATAAAATTCAGTCACTCGATTAAAATTCTTTTTTTTTACTTTTAAAAGACAACTCGTGCATTAGGAATATATCCAGTGTCACGGAGGACTTTACGAATTTACATGAAACTGACACAAAGAACAAAAGTTTGTGGATCACACAAAGTGTCGTCCTATGTGGGGATCGAACCTACAACACTCAGCGTAGCAGTAAACCGCCCGCGTGGTGACCGCTCAAACCACTACGTCATCCGTGCAGTCGATCATCACCGGTTCTCTGTTTTTTTTAAGTGAAACTCCTTTATCACCGTTGTGATTTGATAATTCGATAAAACGAAAAAGCGACAGTAAAAAGAGACAAACATATTCATAAATAGGATTTCGCCTGCGAGAGAATGAGATAGATTACAAGTATAGTGTTTTCTGTAATATTCGTCTCCTCTATGCTATAACGTGTATTTGTGCCTGCGTACAATGAAACCGTCAGAAGAAGTGTCATAAACAACGTGTGTCATTCACGTGTTATATTCTTTTGCATTAGCGTAATAAAATTCGTTGGTTATTTAATTTATGTTAATTATTTAACACATCTGTGTTAATTTCACAAATAATTTTTATTTATAAATTATCTAAAATTAAATTTATTAACGTTAATTTATTTTATTTGTATTCATTATACACACAATGATATTTGTGTGGTTACTGTGTATTTTTTTAATATAATATTTTGACATTGTGAATATTTTTATCTTTTTCTCAAATTTCACTTCTGCCGTGAATGCACACACACACTTTTTTTAAGATGTAGGGAGCAAACGAACAGTCGCGTCACCTGATGGTAAGTGACTACCGACGTTATAGACACTTGCAATTAAAGAAATGTACTGCCGGCCTTTTGAAATATAATAATAATAATACTATTTTCAGACATTGACACACAACGCTATCTAGTTTCAAACTAAGCAGAGGTTGTACTATGAAAGCTAGATTGACTCCTAGATTAATTCTTTATTTTTTAGGAATAAATCCTGTGTCGCGGGGGACTCGGAACAAACAATTTGTAGATCCCAACAACAACACTCTAAGTGTTGTCCCATATGGGGATCGAACCCACAACACTCAGCGGGAAGTGGCGTGGTGACCGCTTAAACCACTACGCCATCCGTGCAGTTAAGTCAAATCAACTATAAACTTTTTTTTGTACAGATTATGCATAGAAAACACCATACCTCCGAAAGAAATATTTGCAAATCATACAAACATTTGGTCCGACCCGGGTATCGAACCCGAAATCTCAGCATAGCAGTCCCATACGCTACCAGTGCATCACCAGGGCAATCAAAGAAATGGTTTATTCTGCAAATAGGTGACAAGAACACTTATGCAAGTCAAATTTAAAAAAAGATGCGTTTGGCCTTTCCTAACTGGACTAGCCTTGAAAAGAAAGGAGGAAACAAACTGAGGAGTTTTTTTTTTCTATCAAGCCAAGGTTTTTTTTTTTTCTATAATCTTCTTGAGGTAGACCTTTCTGAGCGGCAGTGGTACTCCGAGCCAGGCCATATTTGCTGGAACATGGGTCTCCCACATGTCACAATTCGTGAACACCTACGCAGTCCGGTTTCATCTCAGGTCACGGGTCACGTCCGTGTCCACAGCTATGCGGAAGTGACCAAGGTTTTTTTGGGTAGTTTAAATACAAAAGAGTTGTAATTAACACTGAATTAAGGAAGGACATTTTATTACTTATAAATTGTCGTTGGGCTTCTGAGTAGGTATTGATTGTTTTGTTTAGCAGAAGCTTTGGTACATACTATACATGATAACGAGTTTCGATCAATAGGCTAGTTGACTCAATTTGAAAACTTGGTTAATTATATATTTTAATATCTATTTTATCAAAAAAAACCTATATTTTAAATAAAAAGCAATATTGACATTACGTATTTTGTATTTTTAAAAATCAATTTTAATTTCCCTTAAAAACGCTGAATAGTGTCATGGCGTCTTGAATGACGTCACAGTCTACGAAACAAAACTGTTTACATCTGTATCCAGTGTCAACTGAAACTGTATTAAGGTGAGAAAATATGCTAAAAATGAAAAACAATATGGAGTAACCTGCTCTGTTTTATGAAAACGTCAACAACAACAATGATGTTTTGCGTGGCGTGACGTAACACTTTCTGATTGGTGTTCGCTGTCACGTGACTTAATGGCTATTTTGTTCGAATTTATTTAAAAAAAATATTACTAATCTTTAACTTTTATGAGAAATAGACTGTTTTTTTCTTATCTATGTCTCTTCATTTATAATTTGAAACTATAAACCAAGGAATTTGTTATTAATGGACTCAAGACTATTGTTCTGTGTCTATAATGTGTACATACATACCATATAATTTTTAATACGTAGTACGTATAGGTACGTAAGTAAAACAGTATAATAAAATTTCATCCCAATATGAAATATACCTGTATAGTACCAGTTTTTCTAAGCGTAAAAACATTTTAGCTAAGAGTTTTTTTGATTGATTACATATGCTGGTTTTGTCCTTATTTACTGACTTGCAATTTAATGCTACAATGTATTTCTAATCGCGGATATTTTTAAATGACTATCAGCTGTTCATGTATTATGTCTTGAATTTATTTTAATGCTAACTTTAATTATCAAAAACAGAAAAAAAAATTATAGTACAGGCTCTGCCTGGTATGGGACCAGACCGCCGAGTCGAGTTGAGATGTGTAAGCTTATTATCATTATTTTTATTTAAGTCAGGTTAATAATCTATCCAAGTAAGGCAGATATTGTGTGTGTATTTTATTTTAATTCTTTTTTCACAAACAACAATTCATTGTACAATGGCGGACTTAATGCCACAGGCATTTTCTCCCAGTTTACCTTTTGGGTATTTTGATATTTATACGTGTATGTTTATGTATTTTACGTGTAGACTTATATATGTAGTACTGTGTATATTGGTTTATTTATGTATATTATATCTAAGTTAGAGTTGCATTAAATTAATAAATTTAATATAAATCAATCAAATTTCTTGTTCTCCCTTTCACCTACCGCATAATTTTTCTAAATCACCCGAAGGTGGACTGGCAGAGAATGCCCTGGGCATTAATTCCGCCTGTGCACAACTTGTGCATTGCATAATCCTGCCTCCCAGGTTTGTTTGTCTTTTAATGTCGCATTACAGTGACAGTGATGTATGAGTATGAACAGAGACGAAAGTTTGTATAAAACTGATAAAAATAATTTCAAGATACGACAAGGTTGTCCACGTTTTAACTTATAACGTTTACGTTACTATGGAATATCTATGTTGAAATAGCACCTCCAAACCATCCACAATTCCCCTCCCCTGCCACTTTGGCGAGATTCAGTGGCATTTTAGACGGGCCTGGTTAGTAATCCTGCTTGTTAAGTTGGAGGCCAGGAAGGCCAGGAATAATTGTGTGATGAACACGATTATTTGTTCTATGTCTGGGTATAATTTATCTATAATATGTATGTATTCAGAAATATATAAGTATGTTTATTAGCAGTCTGGTTACCATAGTACAGGCTCTGTCTAGTTTGGGATCTTGCGACCGTCTGGGAGCTGTGTCAAGTTTTTACTATTAATCTTCCAGTTTATTTTTTTGTTATGTTAATACCAACCCGTCTTACCAGCGTTGTATATAGTAGGTCAAAACCTCCTTGCTAATGATAGACCTATTTTCAGACGTGGAATATTAAAGGCTGTTGTTGGTGATGACGTCATAGTACAACAATCCCTACTGCTACAGCTCAAGTTATATTGGCCAATAAAATAAGAGACGACATTCAGAACGCTCGAAATTCGACCGCCAGGCGATCTACAGTTGTTACATTATGCTCAAGTTCGTTAAACTAATGTAAAAACAACGATTATTTATAACCTAACTTGATGTCCGTCAATTTGACAGACAAAACTGGGTGACCTTCAGTCAAATAGTTCTATAGAATTGATGCACAGAAGGTCAATTCTTCAGTGCCGATCAACTATCGATCTCGCAACTGTCATAAAATTTATGTTAGTTGTAAACAGTAAGGTATTACTAAGACTAGCAGATTACCGATTCAATTTTCGATTACAATACGATATAATCACATTACAGTCAACGTTGGATGTTTAACACTTTACTACGAAAATATCTTTTATGACAGTTGCGAGATCTTTAGTTGATCGGAACTGAATTGTGAATGAAGTTTTATTACGAGAATTGGTCTTCTTGTATCAATAATTTAATACCACAGCCTCACAGAAAATCGGTGTTTAGCAATCTTTTCGCCGTCTTTCACTGAGTGAGCTAGCTTTCCTTGATCTGGAGGGGGGTGGGGGAAGAGAGGGGGGGCTCACAGACCGACAACACACTTGTGACTAGACATGGAAATTATTGCTACTTTAATATCATATTCATTTGATTAAGTGATTGCTTTTGATCACTGTGATTTTAACTACGATTAACGACATCAATATCAATCACACCGACCTATTTTTTAAATTAAGACCTTTCACCTTTTGTTTTTTTTTCCGTGCGGAAATCCCCTCGGATACCACCTAAAGACATTTCACCTGTCTGGCGTTAGCGTAATAATAATAAAACGCAGTGGTGTTGTAGATGAGTCACAGGTGTAATGAAATTATTAAGAAATCATATGATTAAAAACAGGTAATTGTGATTTTAGCACAGTATAGTAGGCCAAAACCTCCTTTCTAAGGAGAGGCCTGTGTCCAGCAGTGGCTGTTGATGTGATTGATGATGTGATTTTAGCTCATGCCTACTTGTGACTACTAAGTGGCAGGTCCCGTCTACTCGTTCGCCCCCTTTTTCTTAAATAAAAATAATCCAGATATGACAATTAAGAGGGAACAGGTTAAAATTGTCTTCTAACATTTAATTTACATAGTTACAAGTTATAATCTCTAGCTACTGCCATTTTAAAACAAGACTTACCTCTTGCACCGTGGCAGCTCGGAAGAGGAAACAGTTGAGAAGACCTTCCTTCTCATTAAGGAGAATATAGAACAGCTCCTCAGGTTTACCGGGAACTTGGCTGGCCCTGTACAGTGTGAAATAATGACTGGGTCAGTAATACGTTAACAAAATTACTTTCTGTATTAAAAAATATTTATAAATTGACAGTTTTATGCAGATAATAGATTCTTCATAACTCGGTGTGTTCCGGGGGCACTGCTGTTGATCCTGGTTTACAAGAGTAGTATTTAATGTGTTTGATTAGCTTAATTAACTAACTTAAACATTAACTGGGCCATGGGATAAACTGAAACAACCCAAACATTTAGTTATGTTACTATTATTACACATTACATAGACCCCTGACTAAAATGTGAAAAATGATAGGAAGATACTGATGATATAGCAATTTTTTTTTTAAACCCTCACACATCTCACACACGGCCGCCTGATCCCAAACTAGGCAGAGCCTGTGCTATGGTAACCAAACTGCTGATAAACATACTTATATATTTCTAAATACATACCTATTATAGATAAATTACACCCAGACACAGAACAAATGATCGTGCTCATCATACAAATATTTGTCCTGGGTGGGAATCGAACCCACGACCTCCGGCTTAGCAGTCAGGGTCACTAACCACTAGACCAACAGGGCCGTCAAAATTATTATTATCTATTACGTTGCGCGCCATCTAGCGAAGATAGCGTAAATTAAATTGACATTTCATGTTAATTGAAGGCAAAGAGTCGTTCATACTGTGCTATGTTGGAGTAAAATATTGGTAAACGTTAGGAAAAACGCAAGTCTCCAATAGGAAGATGAGATGATGATGGTGGCTCATGACTCAACAGATAAAAGTCAAAGAGATTTAACCTATATTCTGTCTAAATATGTATAACCAAACCCAATCTGTCTGGCCAGCGTGGTATAGTAGGCCAAAGCCTCTTCTAAGGATAGGAATATGTCCAGCAGTGGACAAATTGAGGCTGTTGATGATGATGATGATATATGAAAATGTTAAGTTGGTTTGTGTACGCTTAAATAACTCAAAAAGTTCTGCACTGATTGAGCTGAAATTTTGACACAGAATACAACCCGCTTTAAAGTTGTTTCTATATATATATATCTCATTACTCATCAATCCAACCACAATATGGCACAACAAAGTGTGGCAGGGACAGGTAGTATTTTATATTTTCTATTGAGTTTCTGGTTTTTTAAGGTACATAAGGTACTGCATATAAGTTATATAAATCACAAATTAAACGACGTCCAATAAGATTAAGCTTTTTAATTTGGATTTATATCTATGTGAATAAAATTTTATAATTAACACTCAATCATAAGCTGTTTTCTTCATCACAAATTTAAAAAGGGCCTTGTGTTCAACCAATTAATTTTTTTACTCATTTCAAGAAAATATTCAAAGGAATTGAGAACGTTTTCCTTTTTGAAGTCGGTTAAGAATCCCCTGTAGTGCAAATCGAACCAGTTCTAGTCAGGGTTACGCTCTTCCACACTAATTAAATAAAACATGAGTTCTCTGTCTGTTTATGAATCTAGATACAAATAAACCATATTTAATTCTTGATTTTACTTACTCGATGGTATCACTCCGGTTAAACCTCTTCCATATGAACCGAAGCATGGCTCTCCCACGGTTAAGAAGTATTAAGAAGTCTTTAAAGTTTTTTAAGGTTTTTTTTACAACTCACGCGCTAGGAATATATCCTGTGTCACGGGGGACTTTACAAACATTAATGAAACTGACACAAAGAACACCCAGACTCAACTCAGTAACAACAAATTGTGGATCACACTAAGTGTTGTCCCATGTGGCGATCGAACGCATAACACTCAGCGCAGTAGGAACCGGTGAGGTGACCGCTCTAACCTTCAAGCCATCCGTGCAGTTGATGATCTAAAGATCATTCATTATCGTCGTACAGGTGTATAAATAGTGCCTTGCAGAGTTGCTTGTATAAATAGTGCCTAACTATAATACACTAGCTGTAGCTGCTCCGCTGTGACACATTGTGGTTCAATTGATGGGAAATGAGGAACAAAGTCGGAGCGAAAAATAGATAAAAACCATCTTTGAAGCGTGTTACATATCGTGTCATTTGAGCTCAAACGGTGCAGAATTTTTTATGTTTTTGACGCATACACAAACCAACATCATATTTTTATATAATTACTGGCTATACCCTGGCCCTGCTACGTTTTTCTGTGGCATATTATGGTTGCAAAAAATATATTAAATTTGAGCTCAATCGGGGCAGGAGTTTTTGAGTTCTTGACGCATACACAAAGCAATTTAACATTTTTATATATTTAGATATATAATTAAATATAGATAGAGGATTATCAAGATTAAGTTAGACACAAGTATGAGACTTAAATGACGTTTAGTCAGATAATAAAAAAAAATCTTATTAAATCACAACCAGATAAGTAAGTATTAAATCCAGTTTTTATTTAAATAAAAACTTACTTCGCGGACGACAAGTACATGACACAATCAACTGAGTATTTTAACATAGACTAGCAACAAAATTTAAACATCGATTGATGGGTATGTTAGTGCAGTGACTAGTGATCCAGATTACTGGTCCATATATCATGTGTTCGATTCCCAGGACTAACAATAGAGTGACGGACTTAAAATTTGTTGTGTTTGGGTGTAATGTAATCAGACACAGATGATTCTCATCTTTTGTCCTGGGTGGCAGTCGAACCCTCGACCTCCGGTTAACTACGCGGACTTCGTTTTCGTGGAATTACGCGACTGCAGTAAATGGGGGCTCGTGTTCGATTCCCGGACCGGGCAAAATTTTACAGGTTTTTCTAAGAGGAAAATATTTTTATTTTTTTATAGGTTATTCCTTGTATAGACAGCTACCTGGTACTAAAATATTATCAAAATCGGTACAACCGGTTTGCAGATTACCCGTAACAAACAGACAGACAATTACAAGAATAAGTACTATAGATGAATATGTACAAATGGCGGCCTTATCGTCACAGAGCAATTGGACGGACCAATCAACTGTAAACAGGCGAACTCGTGGGTAGTTTTTGGTAAAAATAAATAAAAAGAATATCCATTTTACTTATTTAATTTTTAAATATTAATATCTAAAGAAATATCTTTGTACCTTTTTATTAATCAAATATGGCGCATATCATATTATTATTTGGAATACTTAATGTTTACATATAGTAGAAGTCATCACAGATCACATCAACAGCCTATGATAGTCCACTGCTGGACATAGGCCTCTCCTCTGAAAGGAGGTTTTGGCCTACTATACCACGCTGGCCAGACGGGTTGGTATAGAATTTGTTTTAAGTTTTACTTCTCCTTGCCGTGCTATTGTCCTGCGTAATTTGCTCCTTTGGTCGGCACGGAATGAATAGGGATGATGATATTCTGTATTTTTAATCCGTCACCACACGGACATAAGGAGGTAAAATAAGGGATGAACGTTTTTACGAAAGTCCGTTATATTCAAAGTTAAAAACACTAGCTAGTTGTTAAATGAATAAAAAAAATATGTCCTAAATATTTTACACTTACCTAATGATATCGACCAGTCTGTGGACAATGACGGGCTCAAAATTCCCGTTATAGGCCTTGAGACACCCATCTTCCACGGCTATGCTGAGCTGTAAAAATACATACATTAAAAAATCATTGCAATAACAAACATTTAAGCAATTAACAAAATAAAGTTAATTAAACTTTTAAAGAAATATCTCCGACTTCAATGCGACTACATCCTGATCATCATCATCAGCCTATCGTCAGTTCACTTCTGAACGAAGGCCACCCCAAGAGGCGCCAACCATCCCGATCTTGGGCAGTACATCCATCCGCAGCTGGCCATTTTCCTCAAGTCTACATTATGATGAATATAGAATTAATATAGTATAATGATAAACTGCTTTGTTCATCATCAATAGCCTTTAATAGTCGACTGCTGGACATAGGCATATCCTTAGAAAGGAGGTTTTGGCCTTACCATACCACGCTGGCCAGACGGGTTGGTGTAGGGTTTGTGTCAAGTTCGACTGTACACGGGGGTTGTCCGGTCAATGGCACTATACGGTGCACCGGTGTGGGCGGCGGCTCTGACCGCCCAGAATAGGGCACGCCTCTGGCGCCCTCAGAGGGTATTGGCGGTCAGAGCCGTTTCGACGGAGGTGGCTTGCGCGTTGGCCGGTACTCCCCCGTGGGCGGCGAGTGGCTGACTCCCGGGCGGAGAGCGGATGTCGCCCTCCGGCTGTGTGTTCCGGCTGACGCAGGTGCTTTCCGGGCACGGTTGTTCGGAAAGTACCTGCACTCGGTCGCTAGGAGGGAATTGAGTCCCGCCTGCCACCACTGCGACTGCAGTGAGGATTCGGCCCAGCACACGCTGGCGGTCTGCCCCGCATGGGCGACGCAGCGCCGGGCCCTCACTGCAGTCATCGGAGTGGATCTCTCGCTACCGGCCGTAGGCCGGGGTCCGCATGTCTTAATAACAGCTGTTCCCGGATCCCTCCTATTACAGGCGCAGAGTGGCACACCGTGTGGTTTTAGTCGGTCCGAGTCCGACACACCACCCCGCCGCAAACGCCAGTGGGGTGACGGTCCGAGGGAATTTCCACACGTAAAAAAAAAATAGGGTTTGTGTCAAGTTTGCCTTCTCTGTGCAACTGTTTTCTTAACTCCTTAATTTTCATCCTTAAAGATGGTATTTTCTATACTTCATAAAATTTTAAAAATACAAGCGAATTGAAAACGTCCTTTTCTTGAACTTGGTTAAAAATTGAGTAACTAATGGACACAAAAAAAAACCCGACTCGAGACTCGACATCACACAAATTATTTTGCCACAACTGAATCATACCAAGACAGATGACAAAGAACAAGATTTGCCTGCAGTTAAGAAACAATTCATTTGTTATATAAATGTTAAGCATTCAATTAACACACTCATTAACACTGCTAATTTTTAATCTTTAAGTCATGATTGATAATGAATTAACGCAATCGAAAATGTGGATTTCCTTTTGAATTGACCCTACTGGCAAATGACCAGACGGGTGACCTGATGGGAGCTGTAACTCAAGAGATACAGATGTGATAGGCCCTTAGTAATATCATTCATTCGGTAAAAGGAACAAAAGAATTGCATATCACCGGTTTTCTATAAGGCAGTGGTATCATATCGGTCAAGCCGGCCGATATATACCGAAGCATGGCCTACGGTAAAACTTCTACTTCATTGATTTGACGACAGAGATACACGACACGAAAAGTCAGGCAATTTTACAACACAAAGAATATTAGTCCTTTTTCTGTGGGCAATTCAGTGCATATTAAATCCGTAATCACGTGTATACCCATCAACATTTGTATACAACAAATGTTATGCAGAATAACATATACCTACTGAAAAGCTTGCATTGAGAAATCGACCTTATGGTAATATTTTACCAAAATGGCGAAACAATAAAACGTCATAATCTCAATATGCAAATAAGCAACAAGACTTAAAATCAAGAAGTTGTGTGTTCGTTGAAATAGGCCAGTTGGAGATAAGCAAATTACTCATAATGTGGGCGCAGAGTGAATCCATAAAGCTTGGTACTGTTAACTTTTGCTTAGAATCTCAACTTGATGTTAAAACTTGACGGAGTTTTGAAGTACTCCAAATTTTATACATTTTCAAAATGATAAACATAGCATGAAAAAGTCATGGGCGATGCAAAAAACAATGGCGGGTCTCCATACAAAAAAATATTTGAAATCAAATTGCGTCGTCTAGTAGTGATAAAACACTTTTACAAATTCGGCCTTTTTTTAGAATCTATGTGTAAAACAATTTTTGTTTAGAAAAGGCTAGGAAAAAAGAGCATAGCATTTGATTTTTTTATATACGCACTGCTGGATTTTCAAATACGTAAATAATGTGTTTAATAATGCACCGCAAACTACATTATTTATTGATTCAGTAATTATAATTATAAAACTATTATCTGATTATCATATTGCGACACTTTATTGGACAGTATTTCCACTACTTGAAAAAAATGGCTGTAAAATGGTAACACAAATAAAAGAAATTAAAATAATCAAATAAGCTTATAATATTTTTCTTTCTTTTCCTGGGGTTTTACTGACTTAGACGATAGTTACAAAAACGTAGATATTTACTAGAATTAGTTTTCTATGAAAGACATTTTAAGGCGCTCAAATTAAACTCAACTACGAAGTTGCCATTATTCCTTAGAAAAACTAGCGGAAAAAGAATTTAAAAAAAATATTTGATTATGATATTGCGGGCAACTGAACAGACGGGTCATAGGGAAAGTGACTACCGCTGCCATGAACATGACGCGACGCTTGACTACCCTGACACTTCTTGGAACATTGGGGCCGCCCATTGGGTCCGAAACAAGTCCATCATCCCCAAAAACACATGAACAAGACCGAACATCTTTAATAAATATGAATACAACTTACAAAAGTTATCTGAAGTCTTATTCAGTAAGAATCATGTTTAAATTATGCTAAACTATCTGTTGGTCACGGCTTCGCTAGCTTGTGCTAGATCTGCATCTGGCGGGAGCAGTATTTATTATATACACCTTTGTGATAGGTCCTTTTCCTTTTAATATCCTTTTTAAAATGTACGCAAAATTTTATGATGATCAGTTAATAAGTTTAACAAAAAAGTGTAACAGAAAAACGGATTGATAGTCTGATTGATAAAGCCGCAACTAAAGTTCTAGTAATAAAAAGACATTCAAATCTATACCTTATCTCTGACGCCGGTAGCTCTAATCTCTCTCAAAAGCCAGGGTAACATGGCGTTGGAGAAACGCCTGTCCATTGCAGTGAAGCCCAGGTACGTCACAGAAGTCAGTTTCGTCTTCATTTTGGATTAGAACTGGGAACAATGTGATATTAAATTATTTATAAAAACTCCTATTTATCTTGATATTGGCTAGAAATAAGATATAGAAACTTATTACGTAAGTAGGACTAAAATTATAGTCAGCAAAATGTGGACGTTTAATACGTTTCTGTCTGACCCTTCGGGAATAAAAGCGTGAGTGTATGTAAGATAAGTCCTTTTTATAATACTTAATTATTATCAATTCTACGTTACTACATCAAACTATTTTGTCAAAGGCTTTCGATTTTGTTTATCACTAATTTTTATAAATGAATGTCAGTATTTGCAGCACAAATTTTACTCTCCAATAAAAATAATTAAACTAGCAATAACCCAAATGCAATAATCTTACATAATTGTAGTGTATTGATCTTAAATACAATTTTATAAAAGCAATTATAAAGGAGTTCTCCAGGGCAATGCAAAGGGCCCACACATTTTTTTAACAAGATTTGAAGCTAAATGATTGATGAATTCATAATGATAGCTTTTTTTTATGAATCTATGTATTATTATTCCATCCAACATATTTTTAGTTATATACACCAAGGAAATAGATAGACACGGAAAACTAAAGGGTTTTTTACGACTATATTGCAGATGGATGGAGAATTTTGGAAATCGGTTCACAAATTATTCAGTTCTACTCGTAAAGTAATGAACATAAAAATATAAAAAGCCGAATTGAGAATTTTCTTTTGTAGTCGGTGACGATATTTGACGGTTTTACCTACTACGAACTGTGAATACCTTTTATGCCACTTGTGAGATGAAAAGTAGATAGGAGTTGATTTTAAACGATTTTTTATTGCGAGAATTGAACTTCTGATGGCAGCCTCTCCACGTAAAAAATCGAAGCTCAGCCGTGTCGTAGACTGAAAACTGACCCGAGCTAGTTTGGCAAAAGCCCCAGAAGATAATATCCGTATTTTGTTCCTATACTTGACCACCTACGTTAATCAACGACTTCCTTACAATAGATTTACCATTAATTTTACTTACTAATTACTTTCTGTGCAGTTTGCAGTTTCTTTCAGTTTTTAGGCATAGAACCCTCTTTGAACAGCTCAAAGTACTCTTTATAACCTTAGCCAAATACCAGTGAAAGTCCTATCGAAATTGGTCCACCCGTTTCGGAGATTAGCCGTAAAAGACTGAAGTAAAGGAAATAGGCACATATATATTATCAATCCGACGCCTGTATACCTGGGAGGGTTGGCAGGAACGTGTCAAACCCACATTTTTCAGACTATACGTAAATACTCATAGGGGCCAAAGCGATTGCCATCAGTTAGGCTTTGAAAATTGAAAAGGAAAACACAAACACAGTACCTTCACTTTGCCTTTCCTATCAACCGATAAGAAAAAAATGCATTCTGTAAACCCTACAACTATCTAGAATAATTGAATAATTGTATTTCACCAAGTTTAATTTTTCAAAATTATAATTTAAATCCCTTGTTATTTTTATTACACGAGTTCTTAAAATAGAAATCCCAAATAAATAAATCATTTTTAACAAGCCTCCTGTCTATTATATCCTCCTGTATATTTACCTGTTTTAAGTTGAAACAACCAACTATTTCACTTCATTCAACCGACTCGTAACAATTTATACAAAATCAATAAAAGACACAAACAAACACTGGTTCTAACTGAAATACATTTGCGAAGCCATTTTTTTATAATTAAACACACATATTATACCGCACAAAGCTACAAATAACTAAATAATACAATATTTAATTCATATTCACTCATATTTTTTTAAATAATAGTCTTCACAAGGCACTGGTACCGTAGGCGGTAACAAAAACATTACGCGAATGAAACCGTAGACAGAAATCCTATAAATCTCATGTCACTTTCTAATGTACGTGTCTGTATGAGACAGCATTATGCACTGGAGTCAACACAAGTTAAACGGCACGACATGAAATATTTTCAACTAAAAATTCATGGCATTTGTTCACTCGTAACAATTTTCCTTCCCCATGTCTGTACTGTGTGTTGACATCTGTCTGTTTTATTAGTTCTCTCTCTGTCACTCTATTTAATATTTTTTATGGTAACGCCCTCTACAATTTCATAGAGAAACTACTACGAATAGTGGTACTAAGTGGGTCCTAAAAAAATGAATGAGATGATTTTAATTTTTGAATAAAAACAAAACCTTTGAAGCTGCCTAATGTGGTACATTAAAGATTTAAGAAAATTAGTACCTAACTAAAGTTGTAACGGCATCGCCTGTTTCAAATAAAAAAAAAAAGAGTGTGCTTTAGACCACACGACTGAAGTAAAACTTCTAGGCGATGAGAGAAAGAGAGAAATTGAGCACCTATCTCTCTTGCCCTTACAGTAATATACGAAACGTAACTTTCTCTCTTCACTAACTTATATCTCCCTCTCAACTTTCGTCCGCCTCGCCCGATCACACTTTTCGTAACGCTCTCGTCACGCATTCACCAGCTTACTCTCTAAGTCAAGCGTGCGTAAAGAAGTTTTACTTCATTAAATTAAGACTGGTTTCTAAGGGCCCATAAAAGCTACTATACGTAATCCTCAAAATTGGAAACTGAAAAATTATTTTCCCCAGGCAAAAGTATGTTTTTATCGTTTCTATAATTTACTAGAATTCCTTTAATAAATCTCTATGGGATTTTCAATTTAATGATAGAAACAAATAATTAGAATTTGAATAAAAGTTTTAAAATTAAACATTATGAGTTTTTAAGTGGCATCTAGCGACTAATAGTAACATTAAGAATGAAACTTTTTTTTAAATTGATCCTTAATGTAACCAACAGATGTCTCTTAAATAAAAAAAAAAGGAATTGAAAATTTACAAATTAACAGACAAGCACAACAGTATCAAAACAATGTGTTTTAATTGATGATTATTTTAATGATTAATTTTAATTACTTCCTGAAGTATGAGTTAAAACTACATTTTTCATTTTATAGGTGTTTAAAATAAAAAGTTATATAACCTTAATTGTGATCTAAGCTCTGACATAACTTCTTATAAATCCAATTAATCTACTTTATAGTACAGAACCTTATATGTAATATGTCTTACATGTACCTAATGAGTCAAAATCTGCTGTACTAGCAAGTATTACTTGTAAGGCTTTGTTCAATTACTAAATTTAGACGTCAGAGTATTGATTACTAATCGTGATTGTAACAACTTCATACATAGAGACATTTTTAACCCACTTTCTTCATTAAGAAAGCTGTATTTTATAGATTCCTAAGATATCTTGTTACAAAAGCGGGGTAGCAACTAAAATATTTAAATTTAGAGTCTTCTAAGAGAATAATCAATTAATTAGTTCCAAAAGTAGCCATCCGACAGTAGCGCCACAGAATATAAACATCACAAAATGTCACAGCTTGTGGCGTAACGAAGACGATTATTTTTGTAAAAATGTGGGTATTTTGTAGTAGTTAAATGATTTCTTAAATGAAAATAGTTAAATGAAGTATGTTTATATATTTTGTGAGAAGTTTTATTTGGCAATGTGATAATTATTGGACATCATCATAGGAAGAAAGTGAAAAAAAGGTAAGATATTTGTTTTTTACCAAATACATACTTAATATGTTAAGGGGTGTCCTATAAAATTAATCAACAGGTACCAAGTCTCATTTTCTGTTTTTAGACTTATTTTACGAACCAAATTTATAATATTCTCTTTTTTTATGAACCCTAAATGTTCGTAAATAATATGTTATAACTAAAATGTATAGAAGAAAATGAAACACATGTAAAAATCGTTAAAATTGTTATAAGGTCGTTCTTCATATTGTATGACATTAATTTATACTGGAACAAGCTGAAATCAATTTAGTTCAAATTTTAGTTCTCACATAAATCGATTTTAATAAATACTTTAAGCTATGAACTTGTATAGTGCCGGGACGCCGCATGTTAAGACACATCGCATGTTCTTTTTTCAAGTTTTTTTCAAAGTGGAACTAAAGTGAATATCCAATATTTTTAAAGATTAATAAAAAAAAATTCCTTTATAATACTAAGGCTTTTGATCTCGGATGTCACGAACTACTACTTAGTATTGAAACCTTAAATGACTAATCAGTGCTTACAAAACGGTAACTACATCGGAATCAAACTCGAACCTAGAGCATACGGTAATTCTTGATTAGAGAAGCCATTTGAAAACTGATTATTTTTATCCTATGAGTCTAATATCCAAACATAACTACAGATCTGTTACATTCAGTGCTTAGATTAATTGAGTACCCTCCTAGTCGTTTCGGTACGATATTTCAAACGGAGCACTAAGAGTTCATTAAGTCCCGCAAAGGATTTTGAGTGCTCTATTCGTCGTCAAACCATGTCACGGATCATCTTTTGATAGTGCAGTAGGTTACTCTGGGACACAAGAGCCCTTTAATAAAATTCTTAATTATAATGTACTATACGTAACAAAATCTTTCGTTCATACGTTTATTTCAACTAACTGAACCACGCAATTTGTTCTGCGTCTCTCAAAAGGAATAAGTATTCCCCATTTTTGCAATATTCCCCATTCATCCCGTGGGTGTTTAATAGTCCACTGCTGGATATAGACCTCTCCTTAGAATGGAGGTTTTGGCCTACTATACCACGCCAGACGGGTTGGTATAGGGTTTGTGTCAAGCTTTCCTTCTCCCTGCAGTGCTGTTGTTCTGCGTAGTTTTCTCCCTTAGTCGGCTTTTACGACTACGGGATGAATAGGGGGGTGACACTCCACCACCACACGGACCACTTTGGTATCCATGATGACTTTGGTATTATTGCGATATGATATTATATATTACAAATAAAATTTCTCTGACTGAAAACGATTTGACATTTTTCACACTGTTTACAATGGTGGAGTCAATATTAAAGGATTCTCTGTCAGTCTTTCTTTGAGTGGTGTAGAATGAGTGAGAGTAGGTGCATTAAAAAGTATACGAGTCTTATGTGA